ACTTCATAAAGTCATATAGAAAATTATCTCATCTAAATTCCTTATTTCACAGATAAAGAATAAGAGATTTAGAGAAGTTCAGGAACTTGTATAGAATGAAAGAAAGTAAACAAATATAAAAAGAGAAGTAACTAGGAACTTCTTTAACTATGAGGTAAAAGAAAAAATGATCAACCAAAATACAGTATGCTGCACAATTTCCATAGCAATATATTTATTTGTGACGTAGTCACATTTCTTTTGAATGCCTGATATGCAACAAGCACAGCTCTAAAACTTTTCCTTTCATGCACTGGGCCCTGGAGAATTGTGTTACTTGCTGGGAAACACTGCAGGTCAAAGATTTAGGGTGCTGCCACATAGCAGTCAGTTACTCAACAGTAGCAAAAAAACAAAAAAACAAACACTTCCTCCACACTCTGATTCTGCTAATCATCTGTGCCACACATTCCCCAGCACCACCAGTACCAGTTAAATCTCCTCCACATTCTTCCCTCAGTAGATTCTTAAATGGTAGGGGTATTCTACCCAATGCCCTCTTCTCAGTGCATATCCATCCACTTACCAGGCTTCATTTACATCAAGAAGTCAATACTTCCCAAGTTTAGAAATCCAGCCTGAAGCTTTTTCCTTTGCTCACAACTTATAGGTCCAAAAGTCTACCAAGTGATTATACTTTAATGCCCCACCAGAATTTTAAACTCTCCACATATAAAGTTAAAAACATCTTGATGCTCAAATCTGTTCTTCCTGTACTTGCTTCCTGAATGACCCACCATCTAAAAACCTGAGTGTCATCCTTGAGTCTTCCCCTCATCCTCCACTTCCAGGCCCAAGTGGACTCAATCACTACCTGCTCATTTCCCCTTACTACAGTTATTTACACCGCCACTTTCTTAGCTTAGGCCACCATCATTACTAGCCCACTTCCTACCTTATCTACCAGTCTTACTTTCTCCAAGTACTATATCTGTGCCCAACAAATCCCAAATCTATTCCTGAATTGTGTTTCTAAAGCTCAAATTGGATCAATTAAATTACACTCCTCTTTGTACCTCTTCTATGGCTCACCACCACTCTTTGGAGAAGATCCAGACTTCTTAACAAGGTTTCGTAAGTCACAAGACTCTACAGAATATAACTACACTTGTGTGTTTAGCCTCATCTTTACTTGTCCCCCACCACCAACTAGTCCACTTTTCTCTCTGTACCAACCTTACTTCCCATCCATTCTCAGCTACTTTTAATTATCTGAACATGCCATGCTATTCCCTGCAACTAGATATGAAAACGGTATCCCTGCTACCTGGTATCTACTTATTTTCTCCCTTCTCCCTTATTCCTTGACTTAGAAAACTCCTGTTCATCACGATACATCACCCAAGGCAATACAAAAAGGCCTCCCTACCAAAAGAAATCTCCAAAACTTGGTTAGGTTTCCCTCCTGTGTGCTCCCTATATTTGGCCTTATCATAGCCACTAAATCACTGGATTGTGGTATCCATTCATTTGTTTCTCTTCCACACCAAAATGTGAGCTCCTTAAGCTTGTAGTGCAGTCCCTGGCACATAACACATAATCTTCAGTGGTTGTTTTAACAAATGAGTAAAACCTGCAACATACCACAAAACCCTCTGCTGTACTCTGAACTTATTACATTTCTAGTTTTATAAAGCACCCCCCAAAGATATATCCAGAATAATAAAGAAATTGTACAAAGAGATGCTGCAATGATCAGGTTATAGTGAAGGTATTTTGCATATGTGATTACCATGCATAATCAGCTTATTCTGAGAAACAGAGAATACCCTGAGTGATCTGGGTAGGCCTGATCCAATTAGTTCAAGGCCTTATGAACACAAATGAGGTTTCTCTGAGAAAGAAGAAATCCCACCTGTGGACTACAGCTTCATCTTCTATTTGAGTTTCCAATCCTTTCTGACTGCCCACGCTGCAAACTTCAGGCTAACCTAGCCAGCTCCCACAACCACATAAGCCTATTCCTTTCAATAAATATCTTCATTATATTTTGTTTCTCTGATTGAACAGACACCTACTAAACAAAAGTACACATCAAACCAGACACTAAATATAAAATGATAAAGAGGTCAAAAAGACTAGTAAAGAAAATTTTTTTTTAATCCTCACCCAAGGATGTGTTTACTGATTTTGAACAGAGAGAAAGGGAGAAAGGGAGGGGAGGAAGAGCAAGAGAAACATCGACTAGTTGCCTCCCATATGCACCACGACCAAGGATCAAACCCACAATTTAGGTAAGTGCTTTGACTGGGAGTTGAACCTGCAACCTTTTTGTGTATGGGATGATGCTCCAATGAACTGAGCCACCTAGCCAGGGTGAAAACTAATTTTAATTGAGACCATGTGCTATGCAATTTACAGTCATTGTTTAATCATCACACCAATAAAAGTTGCAGTTATTCTCATTCTTCATTCAACATATATTTAAGTACCTATCACATGCCAATCACTAACAGTCACTGTTCTAAACGTGAGGAATACAGCCTGAAAGCACACAGACTAGGCCCCTGCTCTCATGGAGCTTAGAGTATAAGTGGTTATAGAGCATGCCTCTGTTCACACAGCTGTATATGAAGGTGCCAGAATTTCAACCTGTGTTGAGTGGCTCCAAAGCTACTGCTCTTTTCATTTAATTCCAATGGTACAAGACATGTTCACCCTGGAAGAGCTTAACAAGCTGTGTAGCGAGAAAATGTGCGCTACAAGGGACATACAGTGGCCTGTGCCCAGATCCTGCCGTGTATAGTCCAGACAGCAAGTTCCCCAGGAAAACAGAGGACGACATAAGCCCTAAGACATGGGGTAAGAGGAAGATTCTGTTAAGAGGCAGGAAGATTTGAGTAACTTCTTGAAAGAACATTAATTGAGAACTAAAGCACCCTGAAAGTTAAGAAGCACAGCATGAACAAGAACTGGGAACATACGTGAGGTATTTAAAGAAACTGAGTAGTACAGTTTGAGTAGAGTAGGAAGTCTCGATCTGGAAGCCGTGAAAGGAACTACCTCTACTTCCCACGATCACCTCAATCCCAACTCCCCTCCCCATGTCCACTTCAAAAGTCTTCACAGCACTGGGTTTGTCCAGGTTTTTTTTTTTAAAAATATCAAATAGACTGAAGAAAGTGGGGGCAAGGTGTGACTAAGCAGTCCAAAAAAATTCTGGATTCACTGAAGTTGGAAATGAAAAGGCACAAAGATAGTTTTTTTTTTTAAAGGTATAAAAGTATCTAGGAAAGTCACTAAAAAAGTAATGGAAGCACTGACTGAAGTAGTCAAAGTGCTGACCCAAGTGATAAACAGAATCATCTGAGAAAGTACTTAGCACCACCTCATTTATAGTAGGTATTTAATAAATGTGCCTTTAAAAAAAATTGTTTCACTGAGATAAAATCTGTATACTACACACGTTAGCCTTTGAAGTGTACAATTCCATGGGTTTTAACATATCAATAGTGTTATGATTATTTCCTCTACACAACTTAATTTTAGAGCATTTTCATCACCCCAAAAGAAATTCCATAACCATTAGCAGTCACTCTATACCCCACCCCAGCCAGACAACCACTAATTTACTTTCTACTTCTACAGGTCTGCCCATTTTGAGTATTTCATATAAACAGAATCATATAATATGTAATCTTAATAAATGTTTCTTGAATATGAATCAGAACCTCTGGAAGAAGAGCTAGTTCTGAGAAGAAAATAATGAGTTTATGATGCATTACTGTGAGACAATGACACCAATCTACTGGTGATGCAAAGAGTCACCTGATGATGCAACTGAATGTTTATGCAAAGCACTGTATCTCCCAACCCCAAGATTCTAGGTCATCCAGATAAAAAAGACACTGAAACAATGAGGGAGGCTGCAATTCCTCACGAAAAAAGATTGCAGAGCAGAAAAGGGAGAACTGATTGCATTTAAGAAGACTTACTAATGAGCTGGACAAAGAAATAAATAAAAGAGGAAGAACAGCCTCAGAGGCAAGAGAATTAGAACACAATTATGAGGACTGAGGAAGAGGAGCTGCCTGTAGTATAGAAGACAACAGAATTCGAGGAGGAGGAAGACTGAAAAAAGACTTTAGGATTTTGTAACTTTAGAAAGCTGAGTTTCAATAGTATGTGTGCGTAGTTTAAAAAAAATGAAAGGTATTATGAGAGAAATGAGTAACAAAATTTGGACAGAAAAAACACTATCCAGCCTTCATAGAGTTTTGAGGACAAAGGCAAATGCATAAGTAAAATATTTCAAGAGTGCAATATTCTTAAATATAATGTACAATTATTTCTATGCATTTTGGGGACATATTCTCAAGTTACTGGGCATTAAAACATAAAAAAAATGTTGTATAGACTTATTTTCTTTAGAGTGAGACCCACCAAAAGTCTTTTATCATTTTAAAACATAGATGTTATTCCCAGGGTTACTATATCATGTTTGAACACAGGTAGAATATCAAATATATATGTATATATATCTCACAATTAAACTTTATATACACAAATAAAAACATTGGTTTCTCTCCTACCCTATGCAATGATGTTTTTGAAGGCTGTGAGACCAGTCATGGGAGTTCTACAGGAAGAAGTATAATCGGGCAGCCGCTAAAAACAAAATTCATGTCATAACAGAGCCCGAACCTGTCAACAGCTCACTTTATACTATTAGATAAATAAATTAGTGTCTTTACATTTTAAAAATAAGTTCAACTCTTCAATTGAAAAAAACTTCAGTTGACAGGATTTTAAAATATTTCCTTTTTAAAGGAAGTCAAAAATGTGATATGTGACACAATCTTCTAAAATATATCTATGCATAACTTAATTATACAAAGTAATCCTCAGGGAACCAACTTGCACAAGAAGAACAAAAAATGGCTTGAGGCTACACTATAGTGAGAGCAAAATGGGAAAATGAGTTTCACTGTAAAGATTTGCAGACATGAAATTTCACTCACCTTTTTAAACATAACTAGTGAGATGACTGCTGATGCTGTGAAAAGTGCTGCTATGAATATCATCATGATTCCAACAGGAATACTTCGGTTGAGACCAGTAAGGGATGAAATCCAACCACTAAGAAGTAATAAAAAGGAAAGTATAATTGGGCAAATAAATCAATGCACACTTTTTAGAAAATAATGTAACAACTAACACATATTCAGTTCTTATGAGCCAAGCAACATTCATGTTCTTTATACATTTAACTCATTTAATTCTCACAACAATCCTGTAAGAAAGTACTGTTTTAACCCCTACTTCACAGGTGAGGAACTGAGCCACAGAGATATTCAGTACCTGCCCAAGGTCACAGAGCTAATAAATGGCATAGTCTGAATTCAAATCCAGACATCAAACTCTAGCCCTAAGTGTGTATCACCAGATTTTATATCTTTTAGGCCTAGGTGTTCGTTATTACTTTCTTTTAAAGTTCATTTTAAATTCAGCTTAATTATAAAAAAGATATTTTCAACCATATATCCAACAAAGGTTAGCATCCAGAATATATAAAGAACTTTCGAAGCTCAACAGTGAAAAGAAGAAAGAAAAAAAATCAATAGGAAAATGGGCAAAAGACATGAAGAGATATTTCAATAAGAGGATACAAAGATCTCAAATAAGCAAATGAAAACATGTTCAACATCATGAGTCATTAAGGAAATACAAATTAAAAACCTCAGTTAGAAATCACTACACACCTATCAGAATGGCTAAAATAAAAACAGTGACAATACCAAATACTGGTGAGGATGTGGAGGCTGAATTTACTCATACATTGTTGGTGGGAATGTAAAATGATACAGTCATTCTGGAAAACAGTCTGTCAGTTTCTTCAAAAAACACTAAGCATGTAACTTCCACATGAATGAACAATCACATCGTGAGTATTTATCACAGAAAAATGAAAACTTATGTTCACACAAAAACCTGTTTGCAAATCTTTATAGTGGCTTTATTCATAATAGCCCCAAAACTGGAAACTCCAGAGTCCTTCGACTCTGGTTAAACAAACTGTGGTACATCCACACCATCGAATACCATTCAGAAACAAAAAGGAATGAACTACAAATACATACAAAAACCTGGATGAATCTCCACTGTATAATTCCACTTATATAACATTCTTGAAAAGACAAAATAATAAGAGATGATGAACAGATCAGTGACTGCTGCAGTTAAGGAGGAAACGGGGGCAGGAGGAGAACTGAATGTGACTAAAAGAGCAACACGATGGATCCTCTGGTGCTGGAAACATTCTTTACCTTGACCATATCAATGTCAAGATCCTGGTTTTGGCATTACACCAGTTTTACCAAGATATTATACTCAGACATTACAATTGGAGAAAACTGGATACCTGCAATCTCTTTGCATTATTCATCACTGTTTGTGAATCTACAATTAACTCAAAATAGTTTAATTTTTAAAAAACCTGAATTACATGAGGTCTGTCTTAAAACCGATCATCTTGTATGCACCCTCACTTAGCAGATCCCTGTGCTATTTCATTACCATTCATGCTGCTATGCTCAATTTTACCACTTTTTCTAAGTCTGTGCTAAAAAGCAAGACATTAATTTCATAACTAAAAAAACTGTTAACATATGCAGTATTTTTTAATTAAACATTTAAAACATTTCTGTTCCCTCAAATGTAAAAGACTAAAAACTTTTAAAATGATAATACTACTTTTTCCTAGAACTGATCTGAAATATCTATATAAATTCTCTGCATGATGATAATGAATACTACTTTTTCCTAGAACTGATCTGAAATATCTATATAAATTCTCTGCATGTATATATATGCCCATTAGGAGATCTGATTGCCAGCCACTTCTCTGATTCAGTAGTAGCACACTAAACATAAGCCCTCAATATACTCTACAGCTACATGCTCATTTCAGTTTATGTACACAGTGCAGTAAATTTGCCTCATACGTGCTTTCAGCTTACAAGAACACATCTACACGCACCTCAGTTATAAAAAAAGAAGAGATGGAGGAATAATTTTAGAAATGTGTACTCTTCTACCTGCCGTCTCATTCAAGGAATGTTTGCTCTAGAGTGCATAAACAGAAATATAAATATGCTATTACCTCCTAGCCTGGGTCCAAAGAGTGTCCATTTCTGAGGATCCCCCACTGATTGACTATTTTGCCATGCTGAGAATGTCAATGTTGTTTAAAAATATATGTATAGATTTTGAAGCAGCCCAAGTGTTCATAGGTAGATGAGTGGATAAAAGAGCTGTGGTTCATTTATAGAATGGAATACTACTTGGCCATAAAAAAGAAGGAAAACTTACCCTTTGCAACAGCATGGATAGACCTGGAGAACATTATGCTATGTGAAATAAGCCAGTCAGAAAAAGACAAGTACCATATGATTTCACTCATATGTGGGATGTAGTGAACTAATGAACAAAAGAGAAGCAGACTCATAAACAGAGAATAGCCTGACAGTTGTCAGAAACAAGGGGGATTGCAGGGCTGGGTGGAAAAGGTAAAGAGATTAAGGGAAAAAAACCCTCATAGATACAAAAAACAGTATGGTAATTTCCAGAGGGAAGGGGTAGTGGAGGGAGGTAGAAGAGGGTAAAGGGGGGAATAAGTGGCGACAGGAGGAGACTTGAGAAGGGATGGAGAACACGCAATACAATATACCAATGATGTGTTATAAAATTGTACACTTGAAACCTATATAATTTTATTAACCAATGTCAACCCAATAAATTCAATAAAAATAAAAAAAAAACGTGTTTAAGTGTACGCAGTGATTCCACTTTTCAAAACAGGTGTTCATATGCACGTGTATATGAAAACATGTTTGTATACCTAAAATAGTACTTTACACACATTAGGTCCCCTTTTCCTTGAAATCCTTGAATTTCTTTTCTTTCCCTTCCACTATCCTTGGCCCTCCTCTCTATCTAATCACTCCTCAGTCTCCTTTTCACTCTTCCCCTTAGTGCTTGTTACATATATATTTTATTTAAAGTAGATATAATGTGCTGTTTTTAATTAACATTTTTCCATCATAATTTTCAAATAGAATGGTTTGTCCAAAGGTTATACCTTAGACAAGTTTTAAATACTAAAAAAATGTAATTTTTACTTCTGTTTACTTTTGCTAATCTGGCTTTTCTCTGTTAACTACTTTAAAAATTTTTTTCATTGGTTTTAGAGAAAGAGAAGAAGAGAGAGAAATAGAAAGAGAAAGAAATGTCCATTTGTTGTTTCACTTATTTATGCATTCGTTGGGTGATTCTTGTATGTGCCCTGACCAGGGAAAGAACCCGCAACCTTGGTGGATGGGACAACACTCTAACTAATTTAGCTATCCGGCCAGGGTCTCTCTGCTACTTATTTTTAGGAAGCCAAAAATTACATAAAGATACTAGATGAACAGATTAACTACAGTAATTAAGTGACTTACCAGTTGCCCCAGTTGTGAAATCCTGCAGCCTGCAGAACATGTACAGCGAACTGACAAATATAGACGAAGAAGAATACAAAGAATCTGAATGAACTGTCACTCCTTTTTGTAAAAAAAAAAAAAGGGGGGGGAGGGAAGAAGATAAAATGTCATTTTTCTCAATACTTTTACATTCACATGCAGATTGACACTCAACATTTAAAAAATACATATTTTTAAAAATACCAGTAGCAAATACCTGAGGCTTGAAATTATAATAATTTATGTGAATATTTTGTTCAAATACTATATGATATTTTTATTATTGTAACCTCCATTTGTCCTTTCAATTTCCAACTGTACCACAAAATATCTTGGCAAAAATTTGTTTTCCTCTTGTTTTTCTTATAAAATAGCTTCACTGAATTATAATTAACATATAATAAACTTCAAATATTTAAAATGTACAATTTGATGGTCTGACATATGTATATAACTGTGAACATTCTCCAATAAAAACAGTAAACATATACCAAAGTTCCCTTGTGCACGTGAGTAATCCCATCCTCACTACCCCACTCACTGTTTTCTGTCACTATAGCTTTCATATTTTAGTTGTATGTAAGTGGGATCATACACTATGTACTTTTTTCTCATCTGCCTCTTTCACTCAGCCCAATTATTCTGAGATTCACTCAAGTTGCACTTGTCAAAAGTTCATTCCCTTTCATTGCTAAGTAGTATTGCACTGTACATATGCACCACAGTTTTATTCATTCACCTGTTGATAGACATTTACGTTGTTTCTAGCTTTTTACTATTTTAAGTAAAGCTGCTATAAACATTTATGTATAAGTTTTCATGTGAACACATACCTCTTTTCTCTTGGGTAACTACCTAAAAGTGGAATAGCTAGAACACATGGTAGATATATGTTTAACTTTTTTTAAGAAGCTGCCAGCCCTGGCTGGGTGGCTCAGTTGGTTGGAGCATTAGCCCATGCACTAAAAGGTTGCAGGTTTCATTCCCAGCCAAGACACACACCTAAGCTGTGGGTTTGATTCCTGGTAAGGGCGCATAAGGGAGGCAACCTATCAATCCATGTTTTTCTTTGACATTGGTGTTTCACTTGTGTTCTCTCCCCTAACTCCCACCTTCCTCTCCTCAGGTAAGGATTTAAAAACAAAAAACCAAGAAACTGCCAAACTGTTTCCATTTTATATTCCCAATGTCAATTATAAGTGTTCCAGTTCCTCCACATCTAATGCTGGTATTATCAATCCTTTAAATTTTACCCATTCTAACAGGTATATTATGGTATCTCATTTGATTTCAATTTGCATTTTCCTAATATCTAATGTTTCTGTGAGCACATTTTCATGTGCTTTTTGTCATCCATCTCAATGTTGATAAACTGTTAAAATATTTTTCTGAGGTTCTACTTGGGTAATTTTCCTTATTGTTGAGTTTTATGAGTTTGGGTATACAAGTCCTTTATCAGATATATGCTTGGCAGGATTTTCTTTCAGTCTGCGGCTTGTCTTTTCATTCCCTTAAGAGTGTCTTTTAAAGAGCAGAAGTTTTGCCCTTTTATGACTCCAATTTATCATTTTGTTTTTATGGATCTTGATTTAATTGTTATATCTAAGAAATCTTTGCTAATGCCAAGGACACAAAGATTTTTTTCCTATTTTCCCCTAAGATCCCTGAAGGGAGAACCCCAAGAGTCCTTACATCACACTTACAAACTCTATTACGGGGGTGTCAAACTCATTTTCACTGGGGGCCACATCAGCCTCGTGGCTGCCTTCAAAGGGCTGAAATCATTTCAGGACAGTATAAACGTAACTACTCCTTAACTGTTAAGGAGTTGAAATTACATTCGGCCCTTTGAAGGCAACCACCGGGCTGATGTGGCCTCTGGTGAAAATGAGTTTGACACCCCTGTTCTATTATTATAATAATATCAATTCCTGAGCTTTAAATATGATTTTAAACTTAAAATCAAGTATCTTTTTCTTTCTAATTTTATTTTAATCATTGTTCAAGTACAGTTTTCTGTCCTTTAAAAATCAAGTATCTTTACATAAAAGAATTAAACTGACTTTTTGGTTCATACTCTATGTCAAGATGTTAAAATAGTGTTGCAGTTCAATTATATTTAATTTATAACTTCAATTAACAAACTATTCCAATATAAAAGGTATAATATCCCCATGGATATGAAGTATATCATAAAGAAAAAAAGACATAAATACTGTCTACTGCCCAAAGACAGCTTTTAAAAAGTATACCTAGAAAAGCTTAGAAAAAGCCAACCTATCCTAACAACAAGTAAAAAGCGAAACAGACTGAAAAATCAACAACTCTTCTTAGATCCAAAAGGTAAGTGAAGTCACAGGGCAAACTGCTACCCCAAAATTGGAGAGACAGATGAATACAAAATCAAAGCTTAACAGAGCAAAAACCCATGAGCAAAAAAACATTCACAGAAACCAGTGCCACAGTAGGAGAAACTGCGGGAGGCTCAAGTGGACAGCTCTGAGAGCAGGGAGACCTACTCATGGGAGAAGCCTCATGCGTTTGTGAGTTCTAACACCAAGAGCTCAACCTAGTTCTCAGAGAATATTGGGGGGAAATCCCCTCATGCTAGCTGCAGGAAGAAGGGAAAAGGAACCATTTGGAAATACTCCAGATCATTCTATTCTTAACCAGGTTAGCAAAAGCCTAAAGTACTGGGGTCTTATTAGAGCCTATCCTATGTAAAAAACAATATAAATGGAGCCACTTTAAAATGGAGTCAGGGCTGTCATTCTAAAGAGACTGTCTTACACATCTTATACCTCAAACCTCTGGAATGTTAAAACACAGTAAAATAACCTTTGCACTGGGTCTAAAACAACACTGTGCTCCAAAGAACTGTTTCTAAAGATAACAAGAAAACAGATATTTTGACTACTAGACTAAAAATTAACATAGTCTAAAATTACTGTCATTAGGTTAGCTTATCTGTACCAATAGAAATGTCTTCTACTGAGATAATTGTTCCTTTCCCTTTCTCATAAATACCCTTTATCTTTGTCTCCTAATTGGGACACTATTTGAGTTTCAGCCTGAATGAGTGCTTCCCAGAATAGCTATACTTCTTTATCTCAAGTGCTTGTTGCCTCCCACTTTGGCTTCCTTATTGGGTTAATACCTGCGTGGGTAAAGGGAAATACCAAACTCCTACTCTAGCCGTCTGTCCTATCTAAGGAAGGGGGGCCACTGAGAAGCACGGGTGAAGTTCACAGTCCAGAGGCACAGGCACAAGTAAAAATTACAGGGCATATTAAAATGAAAAAAAAAATCAAGTTACAAATTTACAACTATTATTGATTAGTATGCTAAAGGCTTTCATGGATAAAGTAAGCGGCAAGCAAGAACAGATTAGAAACATAAGTAGAGAGATGGAAATTCTAAGAAAGAACCAAATAAATGCTAGAGATCAAAAACACTGTGAAAGACATAAAGACTGTCATCATGGGTTTATTAGTAGACTGGACATGGGGAGGGAAGAATCTTGAGCTTGACAGTCTCTCAACAGTATCCTTCAAAACCGAAAAGCGTAGGAAAAAAAATTTTTTTAAGATTTTTATTTATTTTATTTTTAGAGAGGGAAGGGAGGGGGAGAGAGAGAGAGAGAGAGAGAAACATCAATGTGCGGTTGCTGGGGGTCATGGCCTGCAACCCAGGCATGTACCCTGGCTGGGAATCGAACCTGCGACACTTTGGTTCACAGCCCGTGCTCAATCCACTGAGCTACGCCAGCCAGGGCTGGAAAAAAATTTTTTTAAAAAAGAATACCAAGGACTGTGGGACACCTACAAAAGGTATAATATTCATGTAACAAGAATAGCAGAAGGAAGAGGAAAGGAACAGAAGAAATATTAGAAACACTGATGACTGAGAATTTCCCCAAATTAATGTCAGATACCAAACACCAGATCCAGGAAGGTCAGAGAACACCAAACAGGACCACACCTAGATAAACTGTAATCAAACCACAGAAAATCAAATATAAATAAAGGGAAAAAAACACATTAACTATAGAGAACACAGATAAGAATTACATCTGACATCTTCTCAGAAACCATGAAAGCAAGAGGAGAGTACAGTAAAATACTTAGTGTTGGGGGAAAAAATATATACCAACCTAAAATTCTATACCCTACAAAATTATTCTTCAAACATGAAGAAGAAAAGGACTTCCTCAGGCAAACAAAGTTGAAGAAATTTGTTGCCAGTAGATCTGCCTTACAAGAAATGTTAAAAGAAGTTCTTTGGGAAAAAAAAGTCAATCCATTGTTAATATAATGAGAACAGTTTGCGCAATATCGATGTAACCTGGCAGCCAAGGAGGGTGGACTGAAATGTACATGGGTGAACAATGACAATTTCACTGTACTAGTCAGTGGAGGCAGTAGATGCCACTGAGGGAGCGCATGTACTGTGTGGCTGTAGCATTTGAAATGACTGAGAAAGTACAGCAATGAATCTCCATCAAATTTTGCTTGAACATTAAAATTTTAAGCTTGAATATTCCTCCACAGAAACTACTTAGATGATTCAGAAGGCCACAGCTGTGGGCAACTGGTGACTGGCAGCTTTATCACGACAACATGCCTGCTCATGCATCACGTTTCATGCAGTTTTTTTGCAAAACATCAAATCACCCAGGTGACTCCAACCTGCTACATGAAAACTTTAATTTTTTTATTTTCAGTTAATCTAACAGTCTGTTCGAAATAACAGCAACACTATATTTGATTATATATGCTTGTGTGTGTATACTTATGTATAAGTGAAATGAAGGACAGCAATGATGAAAATGAAAGGAGGGAGGAATTAGGATTATTTTGTATTATAAGGTACTCATACTACCTAAGATGTGGTACAGTGTAATTTAAAAGTGAATGTGGATTAGTTGTAAATGCATAGCATACACTTCAGGAATGAGGCAAGTATAACCTGCTTTATATCACAGCTTATCACCATTGTATTGTAAGTCCAAGCTAATGCAGAAAGACAAGAAAGGAAAAGATATTAAGACTGGGAAGGCAGAAATAAAACTGTCTTTGTTC